TGTTATTGATTGGGACTCCACTGAGCAGATCCGTTTCGAGATCAGACATATTTATGTTGTGGAGTACATCTTTGATTATTCCGAAACGAGAAAGGTTGATTTCTGGAATGTAAGAGATGATTTTAAGAAAGGGATGGTCCATAACATCATAGGCAAACTTTGCAGATTGGAAGGAAACCAGGATAGAGTATTCGATTTTTCTTGTGTTGGAGAAGGAATGACCTTAGCCTAGGTCTTTTAGGATATTGATGAGAATTTTGGCTAGATTGACTCCATGGATGTCAGGAGTGTTTGGGATTGAGTAATCAGCCTGGAAAAAAACTTCATAAGATTGATTTACGGCATCGAGGGGGAAATGATTGTTGCGTAATTCTTGGGAGATGAATCGGCGACGGGGTGTGTTGTTAGCAGTGGCGCGATGTGAGGGATTGGAACTATCTTGAGATTGAAGATTGGAGGAGGTAAGGTTTGGTGGTGGGGGCTTGAGGAGGATCTGTGTGGTTTCTTTTTGGTAGAATTGGGGAGGTCGGAGTCAGATTCCTCATCGACAGATTTTGCAAAGCGTTTTCCCAGAGTATTCTTGTTAGGGACATCCATTTCGACATCATTTGTTTGGGGAGGTGTGGGGCATGTAAGGGGGGAAGAGATCGAGTTTTGAGGGGGCAGAGTGGCAAAGTTATTGAGAGTGTTTTGTGAGACAGAGGGGTAAATGTGTGAAGAAACTTTATTTTGGAGTGTGTATTCTAAGAATTCTGTACGTTGCGCTGCTTCAATAAGTGTAGAGTCGTGTGGATCGCGTGGGGAGACATCAAGGGTTAGTTTGGAGGGGGAGAGAGGAAGGAACTACGGAGAGGAATGAATCACTGTACATAAATTCATTAACATTATTGCCAAAGTCGTTTGTTGAGTTGTTGATGACGTTGTTGTTGTTTTTGATTTGTATTGTTGTTCTGATGATCACCCATTTTGAGATCGATGAAGCGGCCTGGCAGGGATGCCGATTAAGGCCACGTGGTCGCGTGGCCAGACCACAATTCGATTGAGAAAGTTGGAATTATACTTATCGGGGCTTAGATTCGACGACTAGAGGAACAGCCAGACTACGTTTCGCCTAATTTGGAACTACTTTATTATTTTGAGAGTAATTCTACATTGCAGGAAGCGTGGTTATAAAGCGCGCACTACTTGAGACGTCTGTACACAGCGGAGGCTAATGGCCGAATCCATATAATGCTTCAAATGAATTCAATCATAGTGTAAAATGTTTGTTTTGATGCCATTAAGGCTTGGGTGGATTATCTGTTATGTCCGGAGACGTGTCAGCATCGAAGGACACCTTTTGGAGGAAAAAGTTGATTTCGGAAAATAATAGTCTAGAATTTTTTTATGTTAAAATACAGAACAGCTAACTTTATAATTAGTGTTAATATTTGAATTTTAATTTAGACGACGCTAGGTGAAGTTTATCACTCTCACCTTGATTGGAGCTATTAACGTAAAAGATCGAAAAGGGATAATTCGGAGATGAGGAATAGTCAAATGATTCCGAGACAAAACAAATTCTTGGTTTAAAAGTAAGCTTCTTTAATTTTCTTTTATCTTGTTGAAATTTACAAGAAATGAATTTTATATTCTTTTACAATATTGGGACAAATCTATAAATAAAGATTGATTTCTTTAAAGTAATAGTTAACGAATTGTATTATCCCTGGAAGGTTCTTTGTAGATTCCGATAGTTTCTTAATTTGGATTTTGAATAAGTTGAAAATAATTATTTCTGGACTTACAGTTGATGCTATTTTTTGGTGAGATTAATCTTTAAAGTTGTAAGCGCGGATCCTTCAGTGAGACACAGATTTTTCTCCACCAGAATTAAAGTCTTCTCTAGTTCTATTATGGATCCTTACTATCGAATCACTTTCACCCACTCGTTTATTTTAAAGTTCGGGAAAGTTAAGGGTGAGAATGTCCACAATCACTGAAAACTGGTTAATTAGTCCTCTTACAATGCAAGAAACACTACTATTTTCGACTTAAGGATGCAGTATCCCTGTGCAACTTCCTTTCGCTCAGCTATGAACTATATTCTATAACTACCACTCCCGATAACCATTTTTCATGCGAGTTATGGGTAGCGGGGATCGAAAGAGACAGATCGATTTCGTCAGTAATTTCCACCAAGTCAAATTAACGCTCCGACGATTGCTTCTAGACTGCCTTGTAATTCTGATTTTGGGGAGTGAGTCGGTTTTTGGTGGATACACGATTCGGTTTTTGATTGGTGGAAATAATGCCGTGATTTTCCCACTTTTTATGCCTTGAGGGAATTCACCTGTCGAGTCAGTAATTTTGGCAGCGCTGGGTTTCGCGAGTGGAGTTCATTGCCCGGAAAGTGTCGCTCTGTTGAAATAGAGAGTGCACTTTTTTTTTTATAATTTTGCGAATTTAACATTCCGCATTGACGATGGCTTGGAGTGTTGAGAATAAAAACCAAATCACAATTAATACTCATTTTATGAATATTTTTGGATATTACATATCTTTCGAATGTTATCTCGATTGTTTTTCCATTCTCATAATGCAAAATATATGACAATTTTCATTGGATTTTACATCACGCAGGAGTCCCTAAAAATTATGATTGTACAATCCAAAAAAATAGAAAAAAACACTGAACATTTTCAAAGAACATTTTTAATAAAAATTAAGAAATAAGTCCGATGGACAGGAAATAGTGAAAGGATAATTTATAATGATAACTAACGATCTGACAGCCATTAACTACTGTGACAAATGACGACCTAACAGCCATTAGATACATCAAATTATTAATTTGTAATTTCCTCCCTATTGAGTTTACTTCCCAATATTATTCAAAAACGCTCTTTGAAAATGTTCAGGTTTTTTTCATTGTTTTTTTGATTATACAATCATAAAAAGACTCCAGGGTTATTCACCAGACTCCAGATAATCCACCCGGGCCTTAAGTCGAAGTTAAAAGATGATTACGATAGCTATATTGGTTGATTTGATTTTTATGATTGTTGAAAATTTTGAATTTTTCATGAATTTCCTTGAAAGTAAGCTTGCTAATGGTTTCTTCAAATGCGGTGTTTCAAATCCATTCAAGTATTTATATTTCGTCTTTCCTCTCCCCAGGGTGGTAACTGACAGGCCGCCATTTGTCACGGTCGTTATACATTCATTCATTAAACTCATTAAACTCATTCCTCAATATTAAATAAAAACGGTCTTTCAAAAATGTTCCAATTTTTTTCACTTTTTTCAGTCCAAATTCATAACTTTCGGAGATCTCTGAGTGACGGGGCATCGAGTTGAAATTTCGAGATAAAAATCGAACAAAAAAGCAAACTAGACAACATTGTCAGATAATGGAGCCGGGCCATAAGATAGGAATTGGTTCTGAATACCCTATCAAGAATATCCAGTTTTTTTCAAATTAAAATGAGAAATTTCATTTGTTGAGGCTATCATTTTTTAATCGCATGCACAGCCATGGAAAATTGTGATATATTTGCTGACAATTTTAAGGGAAAATCTGAAATTTGAGGATTTGATTCCAATATTTCATCTAAATTTGAAGGATCTCTTACTGGAGAATTCACATAGAAATTTAGAGCACTTTGGTATAAGTACACTCAACTTGGGAACAAGTTTTTGATAAATATCTGTGCATCTGAAGGAGATTGGAAATATTTCATGAAGGCCTTTGTGTAGAAGGAAACAAGAGCTACAAAATCTTTTCGCCTCTTTTATATTTCAAGATATTCTTCAAAAAGTGATATTGGAATTTAATCTATTTGTTCTTTTTGCTTCCGAATGGAAGCATTGTAATCGACCAAATTTAAGTTTTTGATTTTGTGTGTTATATCAACCCATTATGATCCAAAAAGTCCGAAAATGCAATTTTTAGACCGCGTCCGTACGTGTGTACGTATGTAACAAACTTTTTCTTCAATTATTTGCCAGTTCAACAATGGAATTCAATCTTTTTTTTCTCTCAAATGTAGGTCTTACTGAGCCCCATCTACTGCCATTCATTGAAATTCAATTCATTAACGCATTTTAAAAATTTTCGAATTTTTTCAAAAATCGGTTTTTTTACGATAATTAAAAAAAATGTTTCAAATTCATTAAATAACGGCTTAAAAAATTTGTCGAGATGCCCTTTCGACCCAGTTCGAAGATGAAGATGATGGCAGTAATCGTTACTGTGATTTTTGTGAAAATTTGCCAATTTTTTTTTTTAAATCAGAATTCTGGCTTCGAATGAATTGTATCATGGCTTGAAATGTTTGTCGTTTCCCGTATAGTTTATTTGATTTTTATGTATAAACGCAATCTTCTTTGTCATCGCGATCTAGGTCTTTTTGACCACCATGACCTACTCAAGAAATTTTAATACTTTTTAAATGCAATATATTTATATCTTAATTATACTCTGTACTCCCCTTGTATCAAAGCGTAACGCAATGAGATACAATAAAGAATTGAATTGAAATGTTTGTATTGATGTCTTTAAGTGGAAGTTGAACGATGGTTACGATAACTGCCTCCGTGGATTTAATTTTTTAATGATAATTTTCAGACATTACAAATTTTTCATCAGTTTCCCCGAAAATTCGCTTTTTCATGGCTTCCTCAAATGTGATGTTTCAAACTCAATCAATTATGGATAAATACATTTTTTTCAACGATATTCCGTTGAAATTTTGTTATGATATAAATAGTATCATTCTTTCATTTCATTTATACAAGAATTTCAGGAATCGCTTATGGTATTCGGAAGTTTGTTGCCTTTCCATGATTGTGGAAAATACACTTTCGTTGATTAGTCATTTATATTATATGCTATACATCGACATTTTCCCACTTGTTTACAATTGCCCTACTGCATTGTTATACACTGCTTATTTATGGCTATTTATGACTTCATCTTTTCACCGAAATTTTAATTGAATTTATTCTTGTATCCTCAGGTTTTTCAACGTATAATGACGTTACTTATCCCCTAGTAAATCAATCTGTGATCACAAATGGCCAATGGTGGTCATTCAGCGTGTACCAATTAAATACAACTCTACTGAATAACTGGTACAATGATTCAAATCCAAAACGGAATATTCTATGGATGACAGAACCCATGAAGCTTTATGAAACAATAGAGAATGGGAAACTCGTCGGTGTGAATGATGATGTACTCAAAACGTTGATCAAATTTTACGCCAATGCACCAGAAGAGAGGAAAGGAGTTGCCATGCAGCCATATTTGGGGGAGGATGAGAAATTGATTGCGGATATTGAACACAACGATAGGAGGAATTTTGTTGAGAACTGTTACAAGATGCTCATGTCAAACCGACCTCGTCACAAGTAAGTTCATTATTCTATTCGATAGAATTTATTTAGACAACGAAAATTTGAAGTTTGGATTTATTTAAATAATTTTTATTTGATTCCAGTCCAAGACGATTCTACTGACATTTTTAGCTGTAGACTAAAAATGTCCGTACAATAAGAAAGAAAGAAAAGATGCTTTCAAATGAGTGTTGTTATAACAAAAAAAAATCGCGAGTTGATAACTTTCAAGATAGAAATTGCTGAATTTGAACATGCCAAAGTTTCAAACATGAATAATCTTCCCTACTTTCAACAACGAAAGATTTGAGGCAAAAGGTGGATCATTTACACGAAATAGTGCTTTCTCAGGATCAATATATCTCCCAGGAAGTCAAGGCCATGATTGTTGATATCATTGGCTACTATATGGTCTTCTGCCCACGTTTCGCAAATATTGGAGTCTTCATCTTCAGGGCTATGAGCTCCGATGTTGGGGGTAGTCCCTATATGCCCTTTCACGTACAAAATAGTCCATGGCCGTCGCCATGGCATTGCCACGGAGTATTGGCTATGGCCAGTGCCATTGATTGTTGCCACGGCCGATGCTCCGGAGTATTGCCATGGCCGGTGCTCTGGGAGATTGTCATTGCCTGTTGTCTTGGAGGATCGCCAGAGCGTTGTCATGGGGGATTGCCATAGGGTTGTCATTGAGGATTGCCATAGGTTTGCCATGGAGGATTGCCATAGCGTTGCCTATAAGGGTGCCATGTGGGTTGGCCATGGGGTTTTTATGAGGGATTGTAATAGGGTTGCCTATAGGGTCGTCATGGAAGATTTTCATAGGTTTGGGTAATGTTAAAAAGGCCCCCACCTCCGATCTGTCTGAAAACTTTACCATGTGTTCAGGATGGTGTTATTAGCCACTTAGTAGCTCTTAAATTTGTCGGAAAAGTCTCAGTGCACGGAGAGAAATTTTTTAGAAAAATGTTAGTTCTAGCACGGGAAAAGAGGCGCAAAGTAACGGCCAGGAAAAAATTCCAGTGCCGGCACTAGAAATTTTTTTGGGGAAAACGTGAATTTTTCCCCATATTTTCTGGGGATTTCTGTGAAATCTTCACAGAAATCCCCAGAAATTTTAACAGAAATACCAAGAAATTTTACCTTAACAACACTAGAATTTTTCACAGCCGGTGGATTGTAATTTTTTCTAGTACTCGTACTAGAATTTTTATAGAAAATTTCTCTACGTGTGGGAAGAAATCGCGAATAACTTACCTCGCCGCTCTCTGCGTTACCCGGGACCAACCAACGTGGAGTCGGCGGTGCTCTGGTCCCGAAACAGCACATTTTTGATATATATATATATAAAGATAATCGGACCACACAGAGATGAATGATACATGGTTCGGAATAAGCAACCCCCTCCCCCGGACTACCCAGATATGACCCGCCGCTACCCTTCTTGTAGCTATTTTTCAATTAAATAAATTAAATACATACACCTGCGAGGCCGCGAGGGAACAAGCTCATTCCGAGACACTTTCTGGTAAGGTAATTGATAGACGGTGATGTGTGGCGCAGCATAGAATTGACAGTATTGAAAGGGCATAATTCGCTTCTGACCTTCAGGTGTATTCCTTTCAATGGCACAATACGTGTCCATAAACACGCCAAAAGGGACGCGGTTATTTTTGGTGCCGAATGCCGCTGCCTTTCTCATTCCTCAGTTGCCACTATCACTGATGGTTTTTTTGCGATTAATCCCCAACAACGCATCTCCGATAGGGTTACCAGATGGGGCTATTTATAGCCAAATGGGCTATTTGCGATGCATTTTGGCGGGCAAATTTTTGATCTGGGCTATAACCCGCCAAGTAGGCTAAATGCTGGCGGCATGTTTTTTTAAAAAATATAATATACTGCAGGAGTGAAGAAAGAGTTCCACTCGGAATTGTAGTTCACGAGGGTCAGAAGGGAACGGTTAAATTTCATGAGAGTCAAACAACAAAAAAGTCACACGGGGATAGTCAAATTTCACGATAGTCAACCATCACGAGGGTCAAAAGGGATGGTCAAATTTCACGAGAGCCCTGGCGATTGAGGTGCCGCGGAGGAGCCATGTTATTGCATGGTTGCCAGCCTCTCTCCGACTCAATGCGCTTGCGCGTGACGTCACCGTATACTCAGAGTGTCAAAAATGAGCGTGCGACAATTTTTTGTATTTTCCCGAAAATTTGTCCCAAAATGTATAATGACCTCTCCAAGGGCGAGCGAATCTCCACGTTGCAGATGATTCTGAATCATCTGAACATAACTTTTGGGGGCATTTTCTTTTATGAAAGCAAACAAATACAAAAAAATTCAATGAAATTAATCAATTCTAATGTTTTCATATAAAATTAATAAGAAAATTGAGGTGGATTGATAAATTTATGGGGTATAAATTTTCGTAATTATATACCAAATCGATATAACGACTAAATTCCATAAAATTTCTTGAAAAATGAATGGCCAGCCTCGCTCCGACTCAATGCGCTTGCGCATGACGTCACGTTGTAATCGGATAAAACGTCAACACGTGGAAAAGAAGAGTGAACAGTGAAAACATTTTGGAGCTGAATGTATACATTCTCTGTTTAACACATGTGAAAATGATTTTCAGGTATGTTGTAAATGTGCTAGGAGTAAATGCAACACGGCTGTATGTGTCTGCAAAAAAGCTGGGCTAAATTGCAGTAAACTGCAAATACTGCATTGATGATGATACAGTGGACTCCCGTTAAGTACCTGCCCGTTTACTACCCGCTTTCGTGGATTTTCTCGCGTTTCGGCATTTTTCCTGGAAGCGCTCCGTCCCCCACTCTCGCGCTGACTTCCCCGAAATTTTAGCGACACTCCGCCCCTAAACATCAGAAAGTCGGTAGTCGCACGGGCTCCCATCGTTTTTGCATGCTCGTTTATTTTTTGATGCACGCATTTTGCTGTTTGTAACATCCTACATAATGAGTCAACATCAGAAAAGAAAATGTGCCGCGTTTTCTGTTGAAAAATTACAGTGCGTTAAGAGGTTGAAAAGTGTTGAGAATTCCAGTTTAATTGCCAATGAAATCGGGGTAGATTCGTCGACTGTACGACGATGGAAAAGCGCCGAAAGTAAGCTGGAGATTTTGGAGAAAAAACAAACTCCTCAGCATAAACGAAACAGAGATCGACGTACTGCAAATCCTCAGCTCGATGAAGCTGTGAAACTATGGTTTAATGAGAGCAGAAGGCAAGGGACACCTATGTCAGGCCCGTTCATTAGACAAAAGGCGATGGCATTGAATAAAAAAATGGGAGGACTGGAAGGATTTGTGGCAAGTGAAGGTTGGTTGAATCGATGAAAGAACAGAAACGGGATAAAGTGCTATAGCATTTTGGGTGAAAAATTGTCGGCAGGCAATGCAGGGGCAGAGAATTTCAAAAATGAATTTGCAGCATTTTTACAAACCGCAAATGTGCTACCTTGCCAGATATTCAATGCAGACGAGACGGGCCTAAATTCAAAATGTTACCAACAAAAACGTTGGCTGCACGAAGTGAACATGGAGCTCCAGGTTTGAAAAAAAATCGAGAACGTCTGACAATAATGGCTTGCACCAATGCCGATGGTTCATGCAAACTTCCGCTCGTGATAATTGCGAAATCAGCACAACCTCGGGCACTAAAAAATCAATCCAAGAAATCGCTTCCCGTCATGTACACTCATCAAAAAAGTGTGTGGATGAATTCGTTCATTTTCGAGGATTGGTTTAAATCCGAATTTGTTCCCCGTGTCACAACGTTTTTACTAGCAAAAAACCTGCCACCACAAGCATTACTATTAGTTGACAATGCAGCATGTCATCCAAAAGATCTCGCTGTGGGAGACATCGTGGTCAAGTTTCTTCCTCCGAACACAACATCCCTGATCCAACTCCTAGACCAAGGAATAATTGAAAATTTAAAAAAAAATTATCGCCATGCTTTTTTATCTTCTATCCTGGCTGCCCAAGAACTAGGGGGAACATTAGAGGCGCACCTCTAGACCATCAATGTGAAACACGTAATTGATTGGCTGGCAAAAGGGTGGAACGATGTGTCTCCCACAACAATAAATAAATGCTGGAAGCTTTTGATTTCAAGGGATATTTGTGATGAGCTTGAAAGACGTAAAGAGGAGCAACTTTCACAGCTATCCAAATTTTTCCAATTCCTGTCTCGTATTCACAATTATAAAAATGTCACTATTGACGGAGTCAATGATTGGCTACATAGAGCAGATGAGAGTGATGAGCAAGTACTTTCTGACAAAGAACTTGTCGCAATAGTCCAGCCTCCTGAGGTTGACGGCGGTGCAACGGTTGACGGTTACGCAGAACGGGGATTCACGGGAGAGAGAGACGAGAATGCTGCAAGTATCGGCTCTTTGATACCGAGTTTTGAGGAAGCTTTAATTGATCCTGCTAACATGCCTGAGGGGAAAAATTTGGAAAACACTTCCAGCTCATTTTCGAATGATAAGTCCCAGGCGGCCGGTTCAGGTGGATCTCATGTGGAGATTGCAAAATCTTTCGAACGTGCCGTGGATTCGATCGATTATGTTATTGACTACTTTGAGATGAAGGGTACATTGACACCGGAAGAAAGTAGTCTCTTATTAAATATTAGACATAAAGTTTTCGTGTCGAAATATGAATAAATGAATTAAAATCGAAATTGTGAAAATATTATTTTTCCCTTTAAAGTTCTCGGAACTGTGGCGCGGAGTGGGGGCTTCATTTAAGTACCCGTTTAGTGCGAATTCGATGTGTTTACATCCCCGAGCGCGGGTAGTTAACGGGAGTCCCCTGTAATTGTCTGAATCAACCTGTCACAAACTCAGATGAACCGGCAAAGGAGGAGGCCGATGTTGAACGTGACGCAGATCAAGAAATTCGGCCTGTTCAGAGGAAAAATATATACAGATGATTCAGATGATGAAGAGGAAGAAGAAAACGAAGAAGGAAGAGGCG